CTCAGGCTGTCTGGCTTCAAGGCCAGGCTGCCCAGAGAGGTACCTGTAGATCTTTCCTTTAGGGCATGCCAGGACCCTGGCTCCAATTCTTCTCTACCTTAACAATTTGACAAAGACATGAATGTTTGGACCTGTAGGGTTCTCACAAGTGACAGAATCATCAGTGATGTCCCTTGCACTGCACCAGCTCAGGAGCTTAGCTCAGGCACAAAGAGACAAGGAGCCCTTACTGCTATGGAAGAGGGCAAGGACCTTGACCATTCCCTGTGCAGACGTTTGGAACCCATGTTTAAGAAAAGAAGTAGCTGAACAAGGTGGCATATGGTGCAATTCTGGGGTTGGAGAGGTGGGGATAGGAGGGTCCTCAGCAAACACTGGCCTGCTAGCCTTGCTCACTTGGCGAGCGCCAGACCAACGACAGACTCTGTCTTAAAAACAACAAAGCAAAAAAGCCATGAGGAATGACAGTGAGGTTGTCTTCTGGCCTCTGAACATGTGTACATTCACATCTTACACATACATGTACATGCATACATATACAGACACACAGATGCACACACGGGGAAAATTCACCGAGAGTCACTAGGTATCTTGGAAAGTCAAGTTCGTGAGTAGACAGTGTCCATCAATTTGGCCAGGCAAACTGTGAACTACCCATGAAGAGCCAGTTGTCCAGGGTCCTGCCCTGGCTTCTTCCTGTCCTGTTGAGGCTTTGCAGCAGTGAGCTTTGATGCGACCCCTCCCTGTCCTGTGAACAGCTGCCTCAGCATATAGTCCAGGCTGGCTTTGAGCTCAGGCCTTAGCCTCCCAAGTGCTAGGATCACAAGTGTGAGCCATCATAGCTGGCTCTTGGCTGGCTTTGTGTGGAGTTCTGAGCACTTACTGTAGATGGCTTTTTTGTCAACCCAGAGTGCAAATTTCCAGCAAGTTCTGCTGGCGTCACAGTCAGTAACATCTCAGCACCAGTGATTCATGGGCATATCTTCTTCACAGAGGTATAGTCGCACTGCTGATGAAGTTGCAGTAACATCTCAGTACCAGTGACTTATGGGCATATCTTCTTCAGAGATGTGTGGCCGCACTGCTGGTAGGCAGAGGCTGCACCTTACAGCTGCTATTTGTGTGCTTTTATAAGCTGTTTGATTTCTTCCAAGTGAGTTTCACGTAGCTCAGGTTAGCCTCATACTTGTTATGTAGCTGAGGGTGACTTTGAACTTGAGATCTTTCTGCATCCACCTCCTGAGTGCAGAGATTGCAGGCATCCAGCTTCAAGCCTGGCTTAGGAGGTGCTGCGGATGAGACTCCATGTGTGTCAGGTGGTCAGGTTTGGTGGCAAGTGCCTTATTCTGTCTTTGTCTTTAATCTTTCTTTTTGAGAAACTGTCTTTTAATTAACCTGGAAATCAATGAATAGGCTGGGGTGGTTGGCCAACGAACCCTAGGAACCTATTTGATTCTGCCTCCTGAGTTACAAGCATGGCTTTTTAAAGAATGTAGGTTTTGGGGATCCAATTTCATTCCCCATGCTTGCAAAGTAAGCTCTCTACTGACCGAGCTATCTCTCTAGCTCCAAAAAACCCTCCTGACACAGGAGAGGGCAGAGGAAGAGCCCCAGACACCAGAGAAAGGCTTCCTGGAGCCATGAGGAGTCTCAGAGCCACAGAAGAGGAGCTACCAGCAGGGGGCACTGTCACTCTTTCCATGCACAGCTTCATGATCTACAAAAACAACTGGAGCTGCCAGTGAAATCTGCTCCCACAGCAGGTGAGGAGCTTTCATGGCTTCCAGGGCTACTGACAGAGAGATGGTTGGCCACACCTCAATAATGTAGGGCCAGAAGCAGGGATGCCAGGGTCTGTCACCTTGAGGCAGAAAGAGGGTGTAAAGTTCAGGCCCCTTTGAATATGATTTTACACACACACACACACACACACACACACACACACACACACACACACGAATTTTCTCCCAGGTCTTACATGTTTTCATTATTGTGGCTATCATACACAAGTCTTGTGTTTTTTAAAAATTCCTTTTGACTATCAATATGTGTGTGTGTGTGTGTGTGTATGAGAGAGAGAGATAACTAATATTCTGACACATTCCTACTACTTGTCATGATTAGTTTCTTTTCTTGAGATGGGTTTCATGCATTCCAGGCTAGTCTCAAATTCATACTGAGCCAAGGATAGCTGTGAACCGATGGCCTATCTCTCCTTCCTGAATGCTGGGATTTGCATGCCTGGTGCTGAGAATCAAACTCAGGTCTTTGTGCTGCTAGGTAACCACCCTGCCAACTGAGCCACATCCTCAGCCTTTTTAATACCATTTGTACCTAAACAACATTCATGGTTTCCTAAGTAATTGCTATTCAACATCCCCACTACTTCTATTTTTAAAACTACTTACAGCATATGCATGTTCTTATGTATATGTTCAGACATCTACTACTTTTAAGCCTGTGTGTTATACTCCTAGCACAAATTCCAGTGTTGCAGTTACTGGGTCAGAAAGTCAACTGTCACCAAGAGTATATGCTTGTATCAATTTTATCACAGCTCAGGAACACTGACCATTCTTCACTGCTATAGGATTAGGGTAACTGTTGTAAAAGACCATCTCTACTCTGTGTGTGCATGCGCGGTACACACCCATGTGTGCACACTGAGGCCAGAGGAAGATGTCAGGTGTCCTGGTCTACACTCTCCATCTTGTTCTGTTTTTAATTTTCATTTTTAGTGGTGTTTGTTTTGTGTGTGT